TCTCGGGCGGGACGGGGACGACCGCGGGACAACTTGGAAAACTTCTCTGGGGCAGACGGCAGGGACGCTGGGCGCTGGTGGAAGAGGATGTAGGAGGGCGGTGGCTGGCCCCGGGTGTCCCCGGACCTCCTAGGCACCGTTCGTCCGGGCCATGGGGCTCCAGCGCCTTCAGCGTCGCCGGGGGGACCATCCCTTCGCCTAACCGAGCCGGGGTGGTGCTCTCTGCCGCCGTGCGTCCGCCTGGAGAGCAGCGGTGCCACTGGCCATGTCCGGCCCCACCATGGACCACCAGGAGCCCTATTCGGTGCAGGCTACAGCTGCCATCGCGGCAGCCATCACCTTCCTCATCCTCTTCACCATTTTCGGCAACGCGCTGGTCATCCTGGCCGTGTTGACCAGCCGCTCGCTGCGCGCACCGCAAAACCTATTCTTGGTGTCCCTGGCTGCTGCTGACATCCTCGTGGCCACGCTCATCATCCCTTTCTCGCTGGCCAACGAGCTGCTGGGCTACTGGTACTTTCGGCGCACATGGTGCGAGGTGTACCTGGCGCTCGACGTGCTCTTCTGTACCTCGTCCATCGTGCACCTGTGCGCCATCAGCCTGGACCGCTACTGGGCGGTGAGCCGCGCGCTGGAGTACAACTCGAAGCGCACACCGCGCCGCATCAAGTGCATTATCCTTACCGTGTGGCTCATCGCAGCCGTCATCTCGCTGCCGCCCCTCATCTACAAGGGCGACCAGGGCCCCCAGCCCCACGGGCGCCCCCAGTGCAAGCTCAACCAAGAGGCCTGGTACATCTTAGCCTCCAGCATCGGCTCTTTCTTTGCGCCCTGCCTCATCATGATCCTTGTCTACCTACGCATCTACCTGATTGCCAAACGCAGCCACCGCAGAGGGCCAGGGGCCAAAGGCGGGCCAGGCCCTGGTGAGGCGAAGCCGTCTGGTCCTGTCGCTGGGGGCACTTCAGCCTCGGCCAAGGTGCCAACCCTGGCCTCTCCTCTGTCTTCTACTGGAGAGGCCAATGGACACCCCAAGCCCACTGGGGAGAAAGAGGAAGGAGAGGCCCCTGAAGAGCCTGGGAGCAGGGCCTTGCCCCCCAGCTGGACTGCCCTCCCCAAGGCAGACCAGAGCCAGAAGAGGGACCTTTGTGGGGCATCTCCAGAGGAGGACGCTGAAGAGGAGGAAGAGTGTGACCCTCAGTCAGTGCCAGCATCTTCTGCCTCTGTTTGCAGTCCCCCCTTGCAGAAGCCACAGGGTTCCCGGGTGCTGGCCACCCTACGTGGACAGGTGCTCCTGGGCAGGGGTGCGGGTGCCATGGGTGGGCAGTGGTGGCGACGGCGGGCGCAGCTGACCCGGGAGAAGCGGTTCACGTTCGTGCTGGCCGTGGTCATCGGGGTCTTCGTGCTCTGCTGGTTCCCCTTCTTCTTCAGCTATAGCCTGGGTGCCATCTGCCCACAGCACTGCAAGGTGCCCCACGGCCTCTTCCAGTTCTTCTTCTGGATTGGCTACTGTAACAGCTCCCTGAACCCTGTCATCTACACCATCTTCAACCAGGACTTTCGTCGTGCCTTCCGCAGGATCCTTTGCCGCCAGTGGACCCAGACGGCCTGGTGAGCTGCCTGCCACTGCCCGTGTGGGGTGGGTGCCAGCGCCACCCTGTCTCTTGCCCTCCTTTATGTGGCTGTCTCCCTGGGGCCCTCTGGTCCCTGCGCAGTTCCTACGGGTTTCATCCTAGGAGTCCCCTTGGAGGGGAGGGGGACGGGCAGAGGTGCGGTTGAGAGGGTCCATCTGAGGCACCCCCTGGCTGGCTTTGCTGGGGGGACCTCTTCTCCATCCCCTGCCCGGGCACAGGCAGATGGGTGAAGCCCGGACCTTCCTGAACGTGGCAGAGACCAGGTCAGAGTAGAGCACCTCTGTGCCGGGCCCCTGCAGGCTGATGGATGGGCTGCCCTTTCTTGAGGACCCTGGGTGCCTTGGCAGGTCCTTCACTTGGGGTGTTTTTGTTGCTTTCTCACCCCCTGATCCCCAAAGAGCAGGAAGTCCACCTTCCACTTCCCCCAGGAGGGCCTGATGCTGAGGCTGATGAAGAAGTCAAGTCTGTTCACCCACATGGGCACCATGGTCCTCCCTGGTGCTGGGATGGGGTTCTGGGATGGCATTCTCTGGGCCCATCTCTCCCCCTTGCCTCTGCTTTTGGATCTGTGGCTCCTTTAAAGGCCAGACCCGTGCCTTGGCTTCCCCACCCGACCCTCCTTTGGGAGGCAGGTAGGCACGTGGATGCCTCTGTGGGGAGGCTTGGAGGCCGGGCCTCTGCCTCATGGGAGATCCCCGATCACTGGCACTCACCCCTGCAAAACGCAGGGTGACAATAACTCGCCGCCCACTTGCTGCCGGAGTTGAAAGGCTTTGCAGAAAGCTCCGTGCTCCGCGGGGAACATGCTAGAGAACCGTCAAATGTGATTATCCGGTGATGTGAAAGCCCCTTTCCTCTGTGCTTACCGCCACCCGAGTTCCTGTAGACTTTTGTTCTGTCCCCGGGGTGTGTGAATTCCTACCCCAAACTGGAAGCAGAGAGCAGCTCACAGTACTGCTATTTGAAGTCACAGGATTTCTTTGAGAACGTGTTCTTGGGCCCACAAAGGTTTGAGTTATTATGCCGGTGACAGCTTCTTGATGTGTCACCTGCAACACCAAGAGGATTTGCACGGCTTGGCTCCCACCCCAGGAGGGAATAAGTCTTTTGTCATCAAACAGGCAAATTTCCCCCCAAAGATGGCTAAAAATATCCACGCCATGGAAGCAGTCTGAGCTGAGAGCCCAAGGAGGAAGGCAGAGCCCCCAGTGGGTGCGGAGGCCGGAGCAGGCAGCGAGGCCCTGAGGACGGCTGGGGGAGCCCCAGGCTGCCGTGCGTGGACAGGTTTCTGACCTCCAGCTGGGCTCCTGTGGCGCGTAACTCACCCCATGCCTTACTGATGGAGAACCGGGCAGCCACGCTGCCCTGGGCTGAGGGCCTGTCCCTCTTGGTCCTCTCCTCCACCCGAGATCCTGTGCCCAGAACAGTCTCTAAAGTGCAGTGCCCCGTCTTCCCCAAGGGCTGCCTGGCGTGTGGCCTGCCAGCGTGGGGGTTGGGGTGGGCTGAGTGGCACAGGTTGTTGGCACTCTGACGAACCTGCCAGATCCGGAAGGTGCCGCAGAGGTTTTTGGGGGAGAATGGCGGGGACCAAAAAGACCCGAGCTTGGTCTTTGGCCAGTTGCAGCTGTGAGGCCAGGACATGGGCTTGGGGTGTGGCTGGTGGGCTGGGCCCAGGGGAGGGACTGACATGTGACCATCTGCTGGCCCATCTTTTGTGTGCTGCATGGGACCCCTGGTAATGTGGCCTGTGGCCCTCTTGTGACATGCAGGCATTTTTAAAAAGTCGGAGCTATTTTATCAATAAAGGATATTTTGTAATAAGCCAGCAGTGTCATCATTGTCCCAGGGACGTCACACTCCGGGTGTTAGCCCAAGGAGCTGGGGCTCTCTTCCAGGGCCACCGTGCTCTCCTCCCCCGCCCGCCCTCCAACACCTGCCTGTCACAGCCTTCCTCATCGTCACCAGCAATGGGGTGACGTGGCTGCCTGGAAGGGAGAGGAAGGAGGCTCCCCGGAAGAGGGGGCCTTGGGTGGGGTCCTGGGTGAGGAGCAGGGGTCCACCGAGAGGCAAGGTAGGAAGTGTGGGGTTGGCTAGATGAGTGGCAGGGTTGGAGAGACAGCCCCAACCTGGACAGGGTAGGAGGAACAGAGGGAGGGGGAGAGGAAGGCCATCCACTCCCCCCGGGACTGGACCCCAGGACACTTACACAGCCTTTTTTTTTTTTTTCAGTTGTTGATGGACCTTTTCAAAATTTATTTATGTGCAGTGCTGAGGCCTGAACCCAGTGTCTCAGACATGCTGGGCAGGTGCTCTACCACGGAGCCCCGGCCCCAGCCCCTCCCCAGCCCTTTATAGAGACAGGGTCTTGCTGAGTTACTCAGGGCCTCGCTAAGTTGCTGAGGCTGGCTTTGAACTCACAATCCTCCTGCCTCAGCCTCCGGAGCCTCTGGGAGGACAGGCATGCACCCCCGCGCCTGGCCAGGAAGGCCATTTTAAGCCGCTCTCTGCAGCAAGGGGTAGGAGCAGGGGATGGAGCTGCTTCCCTTCCGCTGTCCCCTGCTAAGACTCAGTCCCACCCTCGGAGCTGGAAGGCCTGCTGAGGTCATTCCCTGACGGACACAGGAGGTCCTCATGCTGTCCCGTGAGTGGGAGTGAGAGTCAGTCCTTAGGCCTTAGGGAGGGCAGCCTCAGGGCCCGGACCGGACTGGTCTGGCTCCATGAGCAGGGGAGGTGACAGCAAGCTGCTACAAGGACACCATGGGCAAGGGGACACCCGTGGCAGACCCCGGGGAGAGAGACCAGGGGATGGGCCGTGAGGCCAGCGTCTGAGGTGTAGGGGCCACGCCTCTGCTAGGAATGACCAGCGGGGACCCCAGTGTGCCCACCACCCTGGGTGGATATGAGCTTTGCTGAGGTCTAACAATAAAGACCTGCCCTGCCCTGCTCCCAGCTCCTTCCAGGGGCCAGGGCGCCCTGTGCCGAGGCCTGAGGCCACATACAGCAGAACGTCTCAGTCTGTCTTAGGTCAGCCCAGCTCCTCTGCTGTGCCTTGGCTGAAGGGGTAGGTCCTGGGGCTTGGGTGTAGCTCCCTGTCCCACTCTGGGCAGGAGCAGCAGGTCAGCCTTGCTGGAACAGGACTGAGTGAAGCCCATTCTGAATACACTGTCGCATTGAATCCTCAAAACCTTGCTGGAGTGGTCATTTTTATAAAAGAAGAAGCTGAGGTTCAAGGTCACCCAGATGGGTCATGGAACCATAAAACTGTAAAGTTCAGGTCCAGAAAAATTGTGGTTCCATCTCGTGAGTAGCTCTCGTTCAGTGACATCTTCTGTCTGGAGGTCCTGAGACTCTATTAGGCTGGGGTCAGTAGGCAGCAGTGCTGTGATCGATTGCTCATGTCTGTGCTGGCCACAGCCGGTGTAAGCTATGGTATGTGTGTCTCAGGTTTTCCATTTCTGAAAGCTAAGCGCAATCCATGAATTTCATTGAAGAAGAGATGGATCCCAGAGACAAAGGATGTGCCTCAGGTGGCCTCACACAGGCACATGGTGGCAGGACTGGATCTAGAATCCTGGTGGCCCAGCATACTGCACCTTCTTACTGAAGGAAATGAATTGCACCCAGACTCAAGCAATAACCTTCCTGCATTCAGGAAACTTCTGCTGGCAGCCTGCTTATGTCAGGTCCTGGTCTAGTCTTATTCTCATTTTGCTGCTTTATTCAGTTCTCAGATGAGGAAGGTGGGGGGCAGAATCCCAGAGACTGTCCAGAGTCACACAGCTAATAACGGTTGCAGGAAAAGCTGGATCAAGGAACGTGGGTTCCCAGTGTGGCTTTCCCTCCTCTCATGCCGCATTCCTGCAATTCTCTGTTAGTAAGACCTGCTCTTGATTCCACCCTCAGCCCATCTGAAGGTGACTGGATTGATGAAGTGGGCCCAGAGTGACAGAGATGGGGAAGTGGGGTGGGGACAGCCCTTTCTTCCTAGGGACCAATCCTGCCAAACACGGAAGAGATGAGGGCAGGGAGCCTTGGTAGTTCACCAGATGGCAGTGAGATGCCTTGGTTGGCACATTGACCTTCTATAGATCCCTTTCTTAATAAGCTGTCCCTGAGGGATGTGGAGGAGCATGCCTATAATCTCAGTGAATCGGGAGGCTGAGGCAGGAGGATCACATGTTCAGGGCCAGCCTCAGCAACTTAGCGATACCCTAAGCAACTTAGTAAAACAAGGTCTCATCTTTTTTTTTAATGGGGCTGGTGATGTATTTCAATGCAAGGTGTCCCTATATTCAATTCCTGGGATCAGGAAAAAAAAAATCATCCCTGATAAAAAGGCAGCCCTAGCATGCGCGCGCACGCACACACACATTGAAAAAAAAAAGAGGGAGGGAGTAGAGACCCTCCAGCCACCCCTGCTTTGGGAGAATCACAGTTCACAAGGGATACGCTTCAGTCCCTGCTTCAAGACAGCTACTGAGAAATTGGGGACCTCTGAGAATTTCTCTTTGGAGCATTTGGTGTGAGAAGCTCTTGACCGTCCACTCAGAAGGTACTGGACACAGAGAGCCTGCTCCAGAGACCCGCCGTGGAGGACAGCTGGGTAGCCAACCTCCTGCCGGCTCCTGTTCCTCGGCATGATCTCATGTGTGTACATATATATATACACAGTGTGTGTGTGTGTGTGTACATATATATATATATATACAGTGTGCGTACCTGCATGCATTGCAGGTGCTGGACCTGGATTGGGACCCTGCCTACCCAGCTCCACCCGTGAACAGGGCTCCTCGTGGCTGGGGAAGGGGCGTCTGCCCGGCTGCAGTTGGCACCAGCCACCTCTGTTTTCTGGCCCCCCGGCCGGCCATTCTGCTCTTGGGGCCTGGTGGCTGTAGGTGGCAGAGCTGGCCGGGACTGCTCTGCCCCTGGGAATCACAGTAGGTGGGGACCCCAGGGTTCGGGTCCTGCCTCTGCCACGACTGTTGGGCTGGCCCTGGTCAGGACTTGGTCCCTCCCTGGGCCTCAGTGTCCTTGCCTGCCCATGGAGGATGGTCCTGGGGTCCCCTGGGGTCCCCAGCATGGACCCCCTCTCTCCTCTTCCCACTGTGCCCGTCCCTATGGAGTCCCTACAGACATGGAGCTTCCTGGAGCTCCCCAGCTGTCCTCAGAGGCAGGTTCTTGGGCAGGACAGAGCTGTACCTCGGTGCAGAATCGGGCACCAAGTCTGGAGTGACCGGTCTCTTTGGGGCCTTCTGAGACATGCAGTGGGGAGAGAAGAAGGTCAGCGCTGGGGTCTTAGGGCCTAGTGGTGTGACTGTCATTCCCGTTTGGGGCCAGGAAACAAGCCGAGGTCATTGAATCCAGCCGTGCACCCAGCCCGACCTCGTCCCAGCTGGGTGGCTCAGACGCCCCTCTGCCTCTGGGTGCTGCCGGGTCTTTCCTGTGGAGGCCCCGTGTGGTCCTGGGAGAGCTCCCTGGAGGCTGATGCCCAGGCTGGGGAGGCCAGGCTCCAGCCTTCTTGCTCCAGCTCTGCCGCCAGCAGGGGAGGCGGGGTGGGGGTGCTGCCTGGCTAAAATTAGACCACGGGATTCTTGGGTGCACAACCGTGGGGCCTTCCATCCGCCTGGGGAGGCTGCTGTCCGGAGGGAGCCTGGAGTCCCAGCTCCCACCCTGGCCTGGCCCTGGCCGGGGCTCCTCCCTTGGCTGGGCCTTGGAGCCCTCCGTCGATGAGCGGTGACTTCCACCGAGGCCCCTGCGGCAGCCCCGCACCCTGGGCTGCAGCTCCCCCTCTTCCCTCCTCCTGGCCCTTCCCACTTCCGTCCTGGGTGACTGCTCCCCCTCCTCTGAGTCCCCCACTGCCTCCTGTGGCCCCTCTGGCTTCTGTCCCACCCAGGGCTTGGATCTTCACAGGCCCCAGAGGCTCGTGGCCTAGTGGTGGCCGTGAGGGGAC